GAGTAGCCGGGACTACAGGCGCCCGCCACCACGCCCGGCTAACTTTTTTGTATTTTTTAGTAGAGACGGGGTTTCACTGTGTTAGCCAGGATGGTCCCGACTCCTGACCTTGTGATCTGCCCGTCTCGGCCTCCCAAAGTGCTGGGATTACAGGCTTGAGCCACCACGCCCGGCCTGATTATTACTTTTAAAAGATACAGATGGGGTCTCGATATGTTGCTCAGGCTGGAGTATAGTGGCTATATTCACAGGCACGATCCCGCCACTGATCAGCAGGGGAGTGGTGATATATTGTTGTTTTTTATTGTTTTTTCCATATATATACTATATATATATTTATATTTGAGATGGAGTCCCGCTCTATCACCCAGGCTGGAGTGCAATGGCACGATATTGGCTCACTGCAACCTGTATCTCTGTGGTTCAAGCAATTCTCCTGCCTCAGCCTCCCGAGTAGCTGGGATTACAGGCACCTGCCACCACACCCAGCTAATTTTTGTATTTTTAGTAGAGTTGGGGTTTCGCCATGTTGGCCAGGCTGGTCTCGAACTCCTGACCTCAGGTGATCCACTCGCCTCGGCCTCCTAAAGTGCTGGGATTACAGGTGTGAGCCACCGCGCCGGGCCCACAATCATTTTTGAAGGAGGGCACCTGCATTTTCATTGTTCACCAGGCCCTGCGAATTATACCGTGAGAATGGGAAAAGAAAGAAGTTAAAGAGAGGGAGGCTTTGAAGGGAGGCAAAGATGAAGGAAGACGTAAAGCAGAGAGAAATAAATATTAACAGATTTTGGACACACACAGAGAAAAACTGAGAGGCAGAGACAGGATTGGAGGAGACCAGGGAGATGGCGAATCCCAGAGACAGGGAAGAGATCCTGGAGCCACGGAAAGGCAGCACTCACCTGGAGTCCGAAGGAGAGACAAAGACGAGGGGAAAAAAGAAACCAAGAGAGGCAGCTCTGAGCGAGGCAGAGAGAGGCCCCAGCAGCCAGGAGCCGCAGAGGACAGAGGGAGGAGACCGCGTCCAAGGTATGGGAGAACGGCCTGGTCCAGGCTGTGCGGGTCCCAGCCGGAGGTGGGGCCTCACCTGTGTGCCCGTCTGGCCTGCATGGGCCAGGGCAGTTCCCGGGAAGGGTGAGGGTCCTGCAGCTCCGTCTGGGTGACTTCTGTGAAGGCCTTTCTGCTCCTTCCTTCAGCCTCCTCCTCTTCCTCCTCCGGCACCCCCCAAGGCAGCACCCCAGGGCCTCGGTACCGAAGGGTGGCAGCACTGGGCAGCTCGTTCAGCACAGAGGACAGCGATGG